GAGAAAAAGTGTCAAGTTATAATTTGTGTAAATTTATAACTGCAGGTCATGACACGCATTTTCTGTTTTATGACATATAGAACATTACTTATGTTCTTGGAGGTTTAACGACATCAGTTTATCACATGCAAATATTTTTGTCATGAAAACTCTGTTTTCGTATATTTTCTTTGATAAATTATTTATATTAAATAATTATAAATATTCACAAATAGTTGGTTAGTCTGGTAAAAAGTCATGAGTATGATATAATATTCCAATATAACCCTTGTATTTATATTTGGCCAAAAATGATCTAAAATATTATTATTTCCATACTTTAATCATTTTCCAAAATATTTTGTCCAACAACTTTTTTAAGCAAATATTAAAGCAAATCCTTATAGTTGTTGCTATAAAAATTTCGTGACTTATACTTGGTAGCATACTAGTTCTTGATTCCAAACGTGATTTGTGAGATATAATCCAAACTCTTGAGACTTAACCAAAATCTCGAGTTTTTGGACTATTTATAAGAGTTTTCATACTTAAACACATGTAAGGTGGCATGCATACACAATAAGCAAATAAATCATGATTTACACAAGACTTTGACTTGTATTCTCCCCCAAAAACAATAGAAATCTCGAAATGTAGGGGTATGAAGCTCACCTTGAGTTTGTTTTGTGGGTGATTTGAAGAGATGTTGAGGAGTTTCCAAGTTCTAACCCTTAGAGAGTTTGATAAACTCTTTGAACTTGAGGATTTCCTAAGAATATTAACACATAATTTTATGTGTAAATATGGTGATATTAACAGAATAATGTGAAGAATCACTTAGCAAATTAGGAGATACTTACAAGAATTTTTGGAAATTTCTTTGAAGAAATCAGATTGGAGCTTGAATGCTCTTGGGAGCATCTTAGGAGTTCACAGAACGTGACTAAGTTTTTGATGGAAAATAAAGAATGGGTTTACTCCCAAAGAGGATAAGGGAGTGAGAAGGTGTGCTTGGTTACCTGGTGGATATTGCATGTTTATCCGTGATAATCTTGGAACTTGATGAAATGCCGCATCATAAAGTCAAAGGCTTTTGTCTTATTCACATCTTATGTGTTAGAAAAATATCTTAAAATGATGAAATGATGACATGGTTCGAAATCCGAAGCCCGAGGGCAAATTCCGGAGTCAAATAGAGAATTCCGGAGCCAAAGCATGAGTTCCGAAGGAAATACTTAAGTTCTGGATTCGCCTTGATAGTTCCGAGGCTCTATTCAGTGTTCTGGAGTGGTCATGAATTCCGAAGCTTCACCCATGTTCCGGAGTGGGATTCCGGAACCAAACTTTCAATTTCCGGAGCCAGATTAGAAATTCCGAAGATGGTTCTCATTTCCGGAGTCGTTTGGAAATCCGTAGTCGAGGTGAAGACAGCGTGTCCGGACCGAAGCTGTGAAGTCTTCCGGAGTGGCGCGAGGATTTCCGGAGCAAAAGAAGGTTCCGGAGCACATACCTTCCGGAGTCACTTCTGATGGTTCCGAAGAGGAGTGTTTTCCGGATCAAAGGAGTTCCGGAGCAGAGGCTATCCGGGGCATGCTAAATTCCGAAACACATAGATTCCGGAGCCAAGAGCTTCCTATGTGCGAGAATGCTCGGTTCTTTTAGGAGGTTCGAAGCTTCTTACGGGTTCCGAACTAGGTTTTCTCTTTCCAAGTTTTCTCCTTTCGCTTTGTTTTGGTTTGACTAAGGAAAAACTACATAGGGAGATTTGAGATACATAGAGAGGTTTGGGAAAGATTTGCTACACATGGAAAGAGTTCACATACTTGGAGAGATTTGGGAGAGATTTCACATACTTGGAGAGATTTGGGAGAGATTTCACATACTTGGAGAGATTTGCATTCTAACTTTACATGGTCCATTAGGAACCATAATGTACACTTTTAATGTGTTAGCACAAGTCTCACAATAGTTATTGCTTACATGAGGACGTAATTTCCTAGTCAAAATGCTACTTGTGACAATATCTTATACAAGTATGTACTTTGGCTAAGTGCTATTATATGTTTTGATCTATCTCTATAGATTCTTATACGAAGTATTTATGCAAGCTCTCTTAGATCCTTCATAGAAAAACAACTTCCAAACCAAGTCTTAACACCTTCAAATGTTGGGTTATCATATCCTATAAGTAGTATTTCGTTAATATAGAACACTAGGAATACTACAATACTCGTGATAGCTTTGATTTATACACAAGACTATCTTCACTTCTAGAAAATCAAAACTCTTTGACCTTTTCGTGAAAGAAACGATTCTAGCTGTGATACACTTGTTTCAAGCCATATATGGACCTTTCAAGATTACACACTCTATTTGGATATTTGGGATCTGTGAGACTCTCAGGTTGTTCCATATACACATCCTCTGTGAGTTTTCCATTAACGAAAGAAGTTTTCACATCCATTTTCCATATTTCATAATCATGAAAGGAAAAAATGGCAACTAATATCCTAATAGATATAATCTTGGCTACTGGTGAGAAGGCTTCCTCATAATCAATTCCTTGAGTCTGAGTGTAGTCCTTCGCAACCAACCTACCCTTAAACGTATGTACATTCCCATCCATGTCGATCTTCTTATTGAAGATCCATTTACACCCAATGTTTTTAATGCCAATAGTGGGATCAACCAAATTCCAAACTTGGTTATCATACATGACCTGAATCTCTCTCTCTGTCTCTCTGTATATATATATATATATATATATATATATATATATATATATATATATATATATATATATATCCATGCTTTCTTTACATTGGCAACCTCAGGGCCTGCCATCACTTCCTCATCGTTGGATGGCTCATTTATATACTATCCAATGTACGATCACTGATTAGTACGTCTCCTCTGTTGTAATATGGAAACCATAGAACTCAGGAGGAAGACGAACTCTATTGGATCTGAGAAGAAGAGGTTGAGATATATTAGTTTCCTCAACAGGTGCATCGACCTCCAATTGAGTGCTAGTGTCAGTTATAGGTTTTTCTTTGTTTAACTCTTAAATCTCGTCAAGATCAATCTGATTCCTACTAGATTCTTTGTATATGAGATCCCTCTCATGGAAGAAACCCGTTCTGGAAACAAATACCTTGTTCTTAGAAGGCATATAAAATAAGTATCCAAAACACCTTTGTGGATAACCAATGAAGTAGCACTTCATTGATATGGGTTTGATTTTATCGTTGGACTCGCGACGAACATAAGCTTCATACCCCCACATGTTTTATATATGCTAGAGAAGGACGTGTCTCACTCCACATTTCAGATGGTGTTTTAACAACCTTCTTAGTTAGTACGAGGTTTAAGATGTGGGTGGCTCTCTCTAAGGAATGCACCTAAAAAGTTATTAGAAGTGTAGCTCAACTCATCATAGATCGAACCATATCTAATAGCATTCGATTTCTTCTCTCAACAACACCATTAAGTTGTGGAATTATAGAAGGAGAGAATTGTAAAACTATTCCACAATCATTTAGATAATTGATGAATTCAATACTTAAATATTCTTCATCCATATCATATTTGAGCATCTTGATCTTTCTGCCCAGTTGATTCTCTACTTCGTTTTGAAATTCGTTGAATACTTCAAATGTTTCTAACTTATGCTTGATTAAATAGATATATACACATCTACTAAAATCATTAGTGAAAGTCACATGTCTTGTGATGGATCTTAATTGTCCACAAACATCTATATGGATAACGTCGAACATATCCTTGCCTCTTTCATAGTGACCTGTGAATGGCGCTTTTTTTTTTTATCTTTCCAAGTAAGGAAGATTTGCATACATCATCTAACATTAAGTCAAATGATTCCAACATTCCATCTGATTAAAGCTTCACGGTGTGTTTCTTGTTTATATACCCAAGACGATAATGCCATAAACATGATTTATCCAATTCATTATACACCATCTTACTTGTAAGTAACCATGTCTTTGCATTAAATGAAGGTATGGGCTTTAAGTATTGCATGTAAGTAAAAATAAATGTGCATGCTTTTATTTTTTTTCACTATTTCCCTTAAAAAGAAGCCAACGTCGAGAGCTCTTTCTAATGTCCCTCTCTTGCCCTTTTGAATCTAGTTGCAAGCATTTTGTGTTCATAAGTGTTTATCCTGTGGTGCTTACTTGAGCTAAGTACTTAAAGGATTAAGAAATCACTTATACAAGAAGGGAACTAGTATTCATTGTGCCTTACTCTTAGTGATGGGTTACTTATAGAGAAGTCCTTGCCATCTACATTAACACCCCAAATCCAAGTGGGTTCAAAGGCTCCAAATGTTGTCACTCTAAAACACGCTATGGTTTTTTTAATATCCTTCTAACCTATGTAAAATGATCTTTGATGGTTTTGTTATAAAATAGTCTAAAATAAACTAGTTTTTTTTATTAATGCTTCAGTTGTCGTGTTTAAGAAAAACTCTCTAATTTATGTATCAAAGCCCATCAGTTATTATTAGAAATATTATCAACAGTTAATGACATTGGACACTCTTTCCAACATTACCATCATGTTGGACGTTAGCGCCCTAACAACATCCATACTGCCACTGTAACCTTTAAGCACACTACGAACATCAAACAAATGAAATGTTTCCACCTGGAAAAAATCAATCCTATAGGGCAGGCGTCAGAAATAATGGGTCGTATATAAGGAAAAGGTAAATAGGATAAATGGACTATCTATTTCTTTCATCCACTATCACTCTCACTCACCCTCGTTTCCATTTGCGACTTGACCATCAGATAGTGTTTTTAGAATCTCCTACTTATATACTAAACAAATTTTGGTGATTTATGCATATGCCACGAAGTAGAATTCAATCACGCGGACCAGTTTATGTATGTGGTGCCATCTACGGGATCATTGATATATATACTAAAGCATCGTTACAACAATGTGAGAAATAGGAAACCCAACATAATTAAGGAAGGAAGTTAGTTTAGCCTAATTCAACCAATATCTTTATTAGGGACTCCGGTGGAAGCCACACCACCAATAATCCTTCCTACTCTACCTCCCAAGATCCTCAAACCTATCTTAGCACTATAAATAAAATGACGTTTAATGGCACGGAAAAAGTGCCACTAAAGACCACTCGACAATCAGCGGCACAAAAAAAAAGTACCACTAAAAAGTGTCACTAAAGGCTTTTAGTGACACTTTTTTATTGTGTCGCTGCAGCCCTTGTGGGTTTTAGTGGCACTTTTTTTTATGCCACTAAAACTCTTTTAGATTTTGTGACACTATTTTTATGCCACTATATAATTACTAAAACTAAAAAAAATATGTTTTTAATGGCATTTTTTACAAAAAAAAATTAAATCTAAAAATTAATTCCAATATTTTTTAAAAAATAATGGAATATAAAATAATAATTAATATAATAAATACTAAACACAAAATCATTATTTAAATTAAAACTTAACTTGTCTTACAACAATATTCTCTATATTTAAAACAAAAATATCTTCCAAAATGCTTAATAAGTCTAAAATATAAAAGTGTGCTAATAATTACTCAAAACATTGAACTATCAAACTAAATACTAGTTCAGGCAGAAACACCAAACTTGACATGAAGATGAACTTTCTATAGTTGTTCCTCTTGTTTATCCAACTTACAAACAATTGCCTACAAATTGATCTTTGTTCACCTGTCCATCATTGTCTATTTGTTGTGCGACAATTTCATCAACAGTAAGACTTGGATCATATACAAATGATTTAATAAACCTTGCCAACGCCTCCACTTTTTCCCCATGCTAAAAAATATCCGTTTTTTTATAAAACTTGTTTCGGTAGGATGAATAACTGCAATGAAAGTTAAATATGTTAACAAATACACACAAAATAATAAAATAAACTCCAACAAAGTAACAAATCTTTGGGGCCATTTTGTCATGTTTTTTCGTACAACACAGAGACCGTTTATGTAATAAATTACTGCCACAGAGACCATTTTTGTAACAAATATTTAAGGGACAATTTATGTAACCTATCATATCAGATTTCTACAAGAAGGAAGATGGGTATATTTGTCCGAAAATTACTCAACTCACAATACCTCACAATGTAGTTCTCAAGATACGGAAAAGATAAGGAAGATGCAAACATGATCCATTTAAGTTATCGTTATAACGTTTTCACAAAATAATAGTAATGTTTTTATAACATCTCAGATAAAAATACATGTAGGTCATACAAAATTCTCTAGAATGAGAGGGGCATACTTGTCCAATAAAAGAAAATCTGAAATATGTACTCAAATAATAGTAATGTTTTTATAACATCTCAGATAAAAATACATGTAGGTCATACAAAATTCTCTAGAATGAGAGGGGCATACTTGTCCAATAAAAGAAAATCTGAAATATGTACTCATAATGAAGGGAAAAAAAAGGAAAAACATGATTTTATGCTACAATGCTACAGAAACCATCTAATTTCTTATTTCAAAAGTTCTTTTGATCCTAGTTGAACTTCATTAAAATATGATCAAGATAACTTTGGTAATTTTGATAGGATTTAAATATGCAAAAACTACTGCTAGTGATCATGTTTTAGCCTAAACTTCTTGTTTGTTTCTATGACTTCTTTTTTTAGAGTATTGCATTTTTTTAGAAATTAATCCAAACATAGTAGTGTACTTTCACTAATTTTAGAAATCTATCCAAACATGGTAAATATTTCAAATCATGATGCCTTTATACGAGAAAAACTAAATGTACAATGATGCTATCATTGCCTATATTTTCTAAATAATGATGTATTAGAAAGAAAAGAAAAGAAAGAAAGATATACTACTATAAATCTAAAGTCATTTTTTTACCTGCGGCTTGACCTGGAGGATAGAACGAATTTTTGAGCATGGGCTTCACATCTAAATTTTAATAATTGAGAAGAAATAGCATATTAGAACTCAAATCGAAAAATGGAGAACAACAAATTTGACGAAAAATCTGGAAATCAGTTAAAAAAAGTCACACCTAATAACATGTATTACATTTTTCGGCGGTGCAGAGAGCGAGGGAGGGGGTGAATGATGGAATTGCAGACATAATCTCTTCAGGCATTTCGTCAAGCACTTGTTGTGCATCTCTAAACAAGCAAGATATTCAACTAATATTAAAAAATATTCTTGATAGGGAAAACCTATCATCGATTGTACGAGGATACAAAGGGGTTAAGGAAAAATGAATCTGATTATGATTTGCATAGAAGAATGATTTGAGCGTGATAAGGGAAAGCGGAATGAGGACAACTTCATTGTATACCTGATATGGCGATGCTTGGGTAGAACACGATGGAAAGCAATGGTAGCAGGCAGCGGTGGCGAGTTGTGTAGGTTGAGAGACGACGATTTTGAGCCTATAGTCAGCACTATAGCGATGGTGACGGAGATTTGGGATGACGTGGGTGGAAGACAATGTGATTTTGGAGCGTGGGTGACCGGAGGTAATTAGAGGGTAAGGGTGAAATTGAAATTTTTCAATAAGAGGGAAACAAAGTGTATAGCGGGATTTTGTGTTTGTTGAAAACATTTTCCCGCTGGGAACAAAGGTTTTCTAATTTTTGGATGCTTTTCTCAAGCACAATTATTTGTTTTAACTTTTTTAATATTTTTATTAAAACTTAAATTAAATATAACATATTATCTATAATTCATGATTTTCCAATTTTAGTTTACTAGAATGATTTATTTTTTTATAGTTATTATAATTTAAATTAAGTATAACATATTATTTATAAAAATTTTAATGATACTATTTTTATGCCAATAATTAGAAAAAGCATGTCATAAAAGTACTAATGTCACTAAAAGTAGGCTATTAGTGTCATAAGTTATAAAGTGTCATTGTATGTTAAAACTTATTGTGACACAAAACAAAAGTGCCACTAAAAATAGGCTATAGTGGCACAAAGGCAAACTGCCACTAAAACTTTGATGTAATTTTATTTGTAGTGTAGCCATTACACCAACACTTATAGTCATACCACCTATAACAGAGAACAAACAACCACTTAAAAGCAACCACCAAATTTCTTACCTTCCGAACCAAACCCTACTTTGGTGGATGAAAGTGCAATGATGCAATCTCCTACTTGGAATATACCATGTTTAAAGTTCAATACCAAAAGATGAAAGTCACTCTAGCTTCTTCTAGCCACACAGGCTCAAACACGGTTGTACAATTGTAATACCCCTAACCCCAATAGTATGATTTGTATGAAGATTTAGGCAATGATATCATTTATGATAAGATATGTAACCAAAAAAGATGCAATGAATTGGTCTTGGTTGAAGTTTATGTGCATTGTTGAGATAAGGGGAACATGCGAATATGAGAGTATGATGGTTGTTTTTTTTTTTGTTTTTTTTTTCTCGAAATGGAAGATGATATTGAAGAGAAGAGTTTGAACAACATTGTTGATTTTTCGTAACATTTGTTTTGATTTCCCAATTTTTTGGGAAGTGTATAGGCACGAAAAACTCATTTGAATGTCATTAATGTCACCGATTTTGCGAAACTGTTTTGTTATCAAATTCTTTTTGATTGTTACATTAAAAGTTTAAATATTAGAGTTGAATTGGGTTTGTCTTATATGCATGAAAGTGTAAGAATATTGAAAAAAACTTCTGATTTTTTTTGTACCCACAAAAAATGCAAAAACTTATCAATAAATATGACATAATATTTAATACCAATGTGGCTTTGCAAATGTGATATCAAAACACAATGGATATTTTGAAATGGAAACAATGCAATAGTTTGCGATAAACGAAAATACAACCGAACATGTTTCCCTAAGTGACATGCATGAAATAATAAAGGGGAATTCTTATTATTACAAAACAAGAACGATTTGAAATTAAATGCTTGAAACATGTTTGTTGGTATAAACAAGTCTTTGGTGCCACATGTATGAGTTGAACATAATTTTTTTTTGATGTTTCAGATTGATTATGGATAAAGATCACTCATATTGTCACATCGAATGAGGATTCGATGAGTCCAATAGTCCTACATAGAAAAAGCAAAATCGTCAAATTTTTTATTATCTCAAGTAAATTGACACACCAAAAGAAGATTTTTAATGATTTGATGGGTTATAAGCATATTTTTTTAGTAGCACCACGGAAAGGATTATGACAAGGAGTTGTGTTACATGTGTTAGTTCAAGATCCGTACCGAGCAATACCGAAAAAGAATTGACCTTATGGCTAAAAGATTATACTCCCTCCGTCCCAATATTATTGTCAACAGACAAAAACACACATATTAAGAAAAACATTAATTACCACTAAATTTATTTAATAAAATGACAGTTTTGTCCTTACTTTGCATTTAATGTTCCATTAAATGTTTAGTTGGTTAAGTAATAATGAGGGGGTATTTTGGTAAAAATGTTATTTATTTTTAGAAGTGGACTATTATTTTGAGACAAACCAAAAAGAAAAGATGGACTATAATTTTGGGACGGAGGGAGTAGTATATTTGAGTCGACATAAACATGAGATGTTGCCCCGGAGTCCATGTATCCTGTTGATTCATTATAATGAAGGCTTGAGGTAAAGTTGTGTCTTGTGCATCATTTTCTGGAAATCGGAACCAGTGCCAAATGCCAAATAGAAGAAAGATGCTATCCAGCAAAATGCATGTGTGGGCTTCTGTTGTTGGGCTGAACCAAAAACCGATTTATTGGGCCAAGAATGTTGTTGCTGTCGTTGTGGCCCAATGTCAGGCGATTGTTGGATCGGTGCTGAAAGGAGTCCAGTGCTTGTAGGTTTCGACGCAGCAAGAAAAGGGCAAGGCCATGGACCATGGTAGCCAATAGCCATCCACCCCATCCACCATTGTTGGTCGAAGATGTGAAATTCCCACTGGGACGCTGTTGGGGCCTGTCGCCGCCGGTTCTGTCATCACGGTGGTTCCGGCCTCCTCCGCAACCACCGTTCCGTCATTGTGAGTCAAACTAGAGTATATTCGTATGGTATGCTTACGTGTCAACGAGCTGTTACATTAGTTTGTGTATATACTTGCCTATCTCTTACGTTTCAGTTTACTTTAACAATAATACAAATTTCTTTCTCTTGCTACTCTTTCTTTTGTTCCTCTATTCTCGCTCTTACGAAACAAAGCATTAGATTCGTTAATTTTAAGTTAAACTCTTCAAAGTTCACCAAACCTCTAACAATATATACTTCTTTTTGCTGTCAATTAAAATACATAAATGAATCATGTTCAGATTAGAAGAGAAGAAAAACTTTGGTCTAATTGTAACCCTAATGCGCAAAGTTATAGCTTTTAATGGTTAATAAATGTTTCCTTTAAAGTGGTTTTGATGGTAAACCATGATAAGTTCCATTTGATCAAAAGCATCACCAATAGGAGATAACATGGTTTGATCATTGACACATTACCAACGGCTCTGAGGGGTTGGTGATTACTTTAACATCTTCTTCCTTTTTCTTTCTTCACGGTTGATATTGATGGTGTTGGGTGGTGGTCCAACTTATGCCTACCAAACATTGGCTCTGACATATAATCAACACCATGGACATCATGCATTGCTCAAGCCTTCATTTATTTAATTAGCCGCATAAGCTTCCACTGTTTAATAGTGGAAGCACCTTTCAAACTTTTGAGAGCCTTTTGATAACCTTAGTGCTGGTTGTAACTAACGGTGTAATCGTTTGTGGAATCGAAAACGACGAGATTTAGGGTTTACTTAAAAAAATTATGAGAACACTAAATTTTGTTCTATATGTGACAATAAACTTCAAATTTTCAAGTTCTTTGGTGCAATTAACTATGTTCAAGTGTATGTGTAAGATGGCAAACAAAAGGTTAGAGGGTGATGATGGTGGGAAGAGACATATAAATTGGGTTACATAAAAAAATTCATAATATTTTGTCTGAGGATATACATGTAATTAAATCATGTCACTTTATAACTACAACAACAGGGTAAATTATTAGACGAGGTTCTGTGGCCAATGTGAATTAACCGGTTATACTTTTCATAATATCTTGGAATATGTGATCTTCACATTTTTGACATGATGTACTAACCATATCTAAGTTAATAATTTATATTTTTACTAGGGGCATTGTCCTCATTGATATACAATACATGTACCTAAACATAATAATAAAGATAACTAATAAATAATTAGATAATAAAATAAGTTAGTCGTGAAATGACAAATATAGAATTAATAGATAACTACCATTAATTGAATATACTCTTTTCTAAAATGTGCTTATATAAAGTTTACTTGTGTCATGTTTGAACAAAGGAAAAAAGAAGAATACTCTCATTAAAAAAAAAAATTTAACTAATTATGAAAATAACTTGTAGAGGTAAACCGGTAGAAAAATAAACTAAGAAAAGTAGGTAGTAGTATATTGTAAAATTACAAAAAAAAAATAAATAAATAAAATAAATAGAATAAATCATTTTAAACCAAAAACTAATGAAATAATTTTATACATATAATTTTGTTTAAAGGTAAATCTAATTAGATTTCTAAATTACTCATTAAATTTCATCTATTATCATAACCGGATTTAAACCCTCAACCTCAAGAAGGAAGGACAACACATAATACATACCGTTGGACTAGAAGTCATTTGGTATATAATTTTATCAAGTAGGGTGGACAAATATGTATAAGACAACAACAAAAAAAGAAGCATTTTTTTTTGTTTTTTTGTGACTAATTTTTTATTGAAAAAAAACGAATATATCGTAATACATAATTTTTTTATTCCTTTTCCATAAACATCATATTAATAAAAAAAAAAATTCTTCAAAAATTTTCACTTCGTTTTTGTTTTGTTAGTATTTTTAACATTTAAGCTTATTTTTTACAGACAAATATATATATATATATATATATATATATATATATAAAATTTCATAATTTTTGTTACTCTAAACGATGCATATAAAAATATTCTTTTTCTCGAAACTTCTCAGATTCACCCTGTGAATGTTTAAAACTAGATTATACACTTCAGATTCATAGTGTAAATAATATAAATATACATAGCTTAGATTCACAATATAAATAAATTCACTTGCGGATTTTACAAAAATATTTTTCAAAAAAATAAACCTATTTTGTTTTGTTGTTTTTTTAATGTTTAGATTTATTTTTTATCGGAAAAACAAAATACGTACAAGAAAAATACGAAATAGCTATGGAAAAATTTCGTAGCTAAAACATGATATTCCGTAGCTAAACACGAATAGAGACGGAATTTGCTACACAACCATTCCGTAGCAAAATTCTTCGTTACTAAAGGGTCGTTACGGAATCCGTAGCACCTTTCTAACGGAATTTTCAACGGACTTATTATGTAGCAAAACAGCTATGGACTACATCCGTAGCAACACCGTAGAAAATTAACTACAAAATATTTTGTAGCAAGTTCATAGCAAATGAACTACAACCTGGTCCATAGTAAATCTATAGCAAATTGACTACGAAGTACTTCCATAGCTAATTTTCATAGGAAATCCACTACGAATAATATCATAGCAAATTAACTACAATGTACTTCCATAGAAAATTAACTACGGTTCATTTTCGTTGCAAGTATTTCGTAACAAATTAACTAGTCTACTACTTACGTTGCAAAAAAATGTTACGAAATAGATTCCATATCTTAAATTCACAACAGTTTAAGTACATAATAACTCCGCAAAAATATTCATTGCAAGTTAACCACAAACTAGTTCAATAGCAAAAAATGGTAACAATATTTATTCTATAGAATAATACATAAAAAATTGAGTAAATTTCTTTTTCCAAAGCAAATTTATTAAACAAATCAGCCTTCCAAAATTGCAATAAACAATACAAGAAATTACATACATTCTTAATAAAAGTAGTATATCATCCAACTTGATACAAATTTGTTCAAAACACCAATCAAATTAATCTAATAGTCAAGTTTAACTAGAAATTGTAAACAAACAACCATGAAAAAATGTATCGCTGATTATTTATGTTTCCCGTATTGTTGAACGACTCACTTTCATCAACTTCATCTCCTATCAGGGCCAAATTCGTAACAAATTTGTAGGAACATCCAAAAAGTAACAATTTAACTTTCCTTGAGTTGTAAGATGCACACAAACTTCCACCAACCAGGAAAGGGTAGCATGAGAATACTTATAGCAGCAACCCCAAAATTACAACATGAACCCCAATAGTCTAACAATCTATGGAGTTCTCTGACCAAAATACGTTTTCTATTATGTAAAATGGTAAAATTCATTGTTGTTTTATAGAAATTGAAATTAAAACTCAATCAATACACCTTAAGCCTCATTGTTACCCCAATAAGAAAAAAATTTGTTGTCTTGTTCTTCAATGACTATGTGACATTTATATTTTTATGTTTATTTGTCAAATATCATGAAAAATCACTGACTTAAACTTTTGAACCACAAATCCATAAAGATAAATCATAAAAGAAACCCAAAATCTTACCAATTTATTATAGAGACCCAAAGAGTCGAAATTTGTATTTTCCAATGCTCCTATAAAGTCAAAAGATAGAAAACTATTGAAATCAATAATGTTTCCGGTCAGGATGTTGATCGAGAAGATATAGTGAAAAAATTGGAGCAAATTGTAATAGTCGAAAAATAGTACCTTCTATTTTAAGGTCATTCTTGTACTTTCTACATTGTAACCTACAAGCATATGTTCTCCACAGTAAAATTGATAATCACCAAACACAATATATATAAGAGAGCAAATGAAGTCATCACATAAAACTAAAAGTTAAAACCATGTTTTGAATAAAATCATTCTTCAAACCTGCATGAAATTAATCAAAATAAATCAAAAATAACATGAAGATCTACAAACATACCAAATCTCAACAGATGTAATAATTACATTACGATGATGTGATAAAATTGTAAGATTATGTGATAAAATTGTAAGAACTCGGTATAAATACATTTCATTGATGTGATAAAAAAATATGAAATGGATTTTGATTATGGTGAGAGTCCAAGGGAAGAAAACAGATACGAGTGTTTATTATGTCGAATCGTACACCAAGAACAATAAAACTAAAAGGAGTAAGCTCGTGACTCTCTTTTACATGGAAAAGAGAGGCTGAAGGGTGAAAACTCCATGGAGGTGCTTCAAAGATGGATATGCAGCAATAAAGGCGGTCGACTTTAATCTTTGTAATGATGTGATAAAAAACAATAAATGCTATTAATCTCTTGAGAAAGTTGATGTTTTGACGAATACTGGCTAGAGAAAAAGGGTGTTTTAAAGATAAATTATCTACCTGGTGGTACAGTGGCAGTGGCAGCGGGCAGAGATAGTAGTCGTGGCTGAGGATGGCGACGACTGGTGGTTGCTGGTGATGACGATGTCGGCGGCTGCAAATGGTGGCGCCGGAGCTTAGTGGTGGTCACGGTGGCAGATAGGGTTTGTGGGAGCAAGCAACCGACACGGTTTGTATGCGTTTGTAGAGCGGTGGTGGGCGAGGATGGTGGTGGGAAGTGGCGGCGGCACAATAGATAAGATGAAGCGTGGTGGTTGGTCTCCCGATATTAGGGTTAGAGGGGGAGCGTATTTTTTAATTCAAATATTTCAAAGCATGAGGTGGTGGGCCAAATTGGGTGGTTTGTAAACAAGTTGTGGTTATCCGAGAATCAAGGTGTGAGGGATATAGTTTGATTATAGGCTTGTGACTTTCATTTTTGTTTTAAAGGTTGAGCGGTATGACTATTTTGTCATAGTTTAGGCTTAAAAAATATATTTTATGTCTATCTTGTTCTTTTATTGGTTTAATCCAA